TTTCTTCTTACATATTTTGTTAAAAGGCCAAATAAGGACTTCAAACCAAAAAAAAGTAATTTTCTGTTTTGTTTTATTCTTGGATCGGGCTTTAAAGGGTTAAGAACTGTGTAACATTTGGTGTCATTTTTATGATGTTAATGGATGAAGACGAAGCAATATCTGCTCCAAAAAGGTGGAGCAGATCAAAATATCACCATTGATCTTTGTAAAAACCTGCATCAGTTAATCTATTTTATGTAGTATCTTTGGAGAGATAAAATCCAAACAATCACCCAAAAAAAAACACATTATATGGGGTGAAAACATAACAAGGTCACATTTTGCTTCCATTAAAGGTCAACGCCAGGTGACCTTAAAGATGGTGACCAAGCAACTTCTCTGGATAAAGCTGATTTTTTTTTTTCTACAGAGGTTAAATAAGTTAACAACTTTATAAATCCTATTGGTCTAAAAAGTAAAATCCCTTATTGTGATAAAAGGCGTTTTCTGTTTTGATCACTGAAGTTTCCACAAACAATCATCTCAGTGTTTCCCAGCAGTGGTTCAGTGGGTCCAAGGCGGTGAATCAGAAAAACCAGTCCCTCCTCGTCCCGCTGCAGGTCCGAATATCACAGTAATAAAGAGTTACATTCTAACTGGTATCTGTATTGTTTGCCATGTTGATGACAATAATAATAATAATAATAATCTACATGGCATACTGTGTGTGTCTGTTTAATTTGAATCTATTTAAGTGATTTTCACTTCCTGTTTGTGTCCTACCTGCTCTGCCTATTGGTTCAGAGGGGAGCAGCTGACAGATCAGTTGGTCCGATTTTCTGATTATGTTTATTTTTGCTGTCACTAGTGTAACGTAACCTAAGGTTTTTTTTGTATGTTTTTTTAAATAATGGGGCTCGATGTTACGGACAATAAAATCCTGATAGGAAATTCCTTAGTAAGTCAAACCTTTGTTGATGCAGAACTTTCTTCACTCTCGTTTTCATCCTTTATAAAAAACAAAATAAAAAAATCAAAGCTCAGTCTTTGACTAAAAGGTTTCCAGCAGCTTCATGCGTCGGCGTCAAAACGACCGTATGGAGAGTTTTCTGTGTTTTGTTATTGAAGACTGATTGAATTTTCACAGTCCCCTATATTTGGCCCCCCGTCCACATGAAGTGGCTGATGGCCCGCAGGGCAACCATGTATAAATATTAGTGCGCATGCCCAACATTTCGTCGCCTATTTTTGCTTTGGCACCACAGCGCCACTTACAGGCCTGGCATACATTTTGCAGCGTTTTCATGCATTCATTTGGTCGATCA